CAAATGGAAAAAATAGGGAGTGTTTCTTCTAATCTTTCAGTTCTTGTAATTTGAAGGGTTTCTTATAACAACTGTAGGCACAAGGTTGTTGGCCAGCATCATGATTTTTCCAGCTGACTTGGTGTCCCTTTTGGTGCTGCAGTTTTCTAACCATATTTATTTCAGGAAGAGTGTTTTGAAATCAGTTTTTAAAGAGTATTTGATATTCTTCCTCAGCTATAATAAATGTGTATGGTAGCAACTTTTTCTGGTGCTCATGCTGATGACATTTGATATTCAATATATCCCAGAGTCTTGGAGAAAATTTACTGAGCCAAACTTACTGTTTACATAAATGAGTGCATTCCACTATAATGGAGTCACACCTTTTTGCTTATGTTGTTGATGAATTTGGCTCGTTGCACGTAAGATCCATTTCCATGGTCATAAACAAAACAAAAAAACTAAAGTACAGCATAAAGGAATCATGAAGATAAAATAGTAACAAATTTAAAAATCATGTTTTCATGAGGGAAAAACAAAGGTGGGTTGAGCACCGACTCACAGAAGTACTTTGTAATAATGAAATACTGATGCAACAGGCAACTTGGGGGTGGAGGGGACTTGCTATAAATATCTATTGAAGCAGATAATTTTTTTCCCCATATAAGACTGACCCGTTCCTTTGCCCCTTTCCTCCACCACAGTACAGAGGAAAGCGAGTTCATAATGCAAACTACTAAGCATTAGAATGTTATTTCTAGTACAGAATTAGAAGGATATCTTTTCATATATTTTTAGTAACTGTAGAACTTTCCATCTCCAAAGTGCAGTACAAACATTAACTAATTTTACCACATCATCCCTGGGAGGGTAAGCATTAACTCCAGCTTACTGATGATGAAATGAAGATAGAAAGGTTAAGTGACTTGCATAGCAAGTCGGTGGTAGAATGGAAATTAGGACTCAAGAGTTTCTGATGACAAAGCGTGTGCGCCATATAATCAGAGAGCACCTCTCTCACTTACCAATAGAATGTTAAAACTTGCTAGTAGATGCGGTCTGTACCTGTGGAGTTTAAAAAAATTACTGTTGTAAGAATTTTCAAGGTTACTGGGGAGGCTTGCCACTGGTGTGATCAGGCTCAACTCTTTCTTTCTATATTTCTTTTGCCAGAGTGAACATTTTGTTGATTACCAAGCTTTTATGAACATTTATACAAAGGGGGGAAATGCTTCTTGAAAAGCTTTTTGACTGCATCAGTAGGCTTTCTTGGATATGAAAAAGGCATTTAGAACACAATAAAGAATGTATTTTGTATATGTAGCCATGAAAGCTAGATCTTTTTTTTTAGAAAAAAAAAAAGATGCATTGCATTTCTCAAAAGTAGATAATTGCTTTTCTTTATTTAAAAAGAAAAAATGCTTGACAGTGAGATTATAACATTTTACTGAATAATGTAAGGTCTCTTGTTTTCTTGCACAGGTTTCCACTTGAGTGGCACGGTGACAGATCCTGCAATGCAATCGGAGCCAGAAACTGTTTGCAAGGTAGCTATCAGCTTTGATCGTTGCAAGATTACCTCAGTGACGTGTAGCTGTGGAAACAAGGACATATTTTACTGTGCACACGTTGTGGCACTCTCTTTATACCGGATCCGCAAGCCAGATCAGGTCAAACTGCATCTTCCCATTTCAGAGACACTCTTTCAAATGAACAGAGACCAACTACAAAAGTTTGTACAGTATTTGATCACAATGCACCACACAGAAGTTTTGCCAACAGCTCAGAAATTAGCAGATGAAATTCTTTCTCAGAATTCAGAAATCAATCAAGTCCATGGTAAGTTTAGCAACTGCTTTTCCTTGTCTTTCCTTTGTTCACCCGTTGTTTGTTTTTCTTTACCTATTTTCTCAACTCCGTACAAAAAAAAAAGTATGTAAATGTGGATCATTATTCTACCATTACTTTAAGATGGCTTGAAAAAAACCTGCTAGTTTGCAAGAGAAACCATGTATAAGCAATAAGAATGATCTATATTGCAATATCTTATAACTAATGTAGCAATGTAGTCTGCCATATTACAATCATATATTTGTTTCTGCTCTTCTTTCTACAGCCATCTTATTAACAATACCTATTTTGCAGTAAATGTACTGACTATGTTTTTGATAGTTTCTCTTTACTGTTCATCTTTGAAATTCTGCTTATCCATAGCTTCATTTCTAAGGCGCTTTTAAAAGAAGCAGAAAAACAGATAAAATCTGTTTTTAATTTTCTTTCATTACATTAAGTTTTCTGCGGACCTTTTTGTTTGGGTTTTGTTCTGCATTGGAGTCAGGAGAGGAAATGAGAAAGGGTAGTGTATTAAAAATATAAGGCCAATTGGCAAAAAACTGTTCTAGCCTAGCCATTGCAGTAACATTAGGTTCAGTTGTTCGGTGAGGAAGCATATTTGACTTACTTTGTTCATTCAAGTGCCACTTGGTTTTGTTCTGCTATAGTGCCCAGTATGTAGGGACTTTATAAACATTTACGAAGATTGGCCCCTGCTCATAGGTCCTTTCAATACAAGGACAAACAAGTACACAAATGTCAGAGTAAGGAATAAGAATATGCAATTTGTATGTACAAGTCAATTTGATTCACTGTAGGCAGTACAGCACAAGTGGATCTTTCAAGTGGACCAAAATCTGGACATGGGAGGGCCTTCCAGATGGGAGCCACATAGAAGGCACAGAGGATTGTTTGAGAATCAGATGGAAAGGTGAAGTTGGGAGCAATGGTGGAGTGGCAAAGATTCGGGGACAACATGACACTTGACAATGCAGGATAACTAGGGTGGGGGGAGTGATATGTGGCGCTTTGGTGGTGTTGACCAGAAGCTTATATTTGATAGGCTACTGGATGGGAAGCCAGTGGAAGGACTCGGAGAAAGAAGTTAAATGATCGAGGAAGATGAGTTTAGTGGCAACATTTTGTCTGGGCTGCAGGAGGGCAGTGTGTGTGTGTGTGTGTGTGGGAGGCCGGAGGAGAGGATTAATCAAGATGGAATATAATAAGAACCTGAAATGAGAGAGTTGGCTGTGAAGGTGGAGAAAATAAAGGACTGATTAGATGAGGAGGAAGAAGCAGAAGGATTTGGAAATAGCATTAATGGGTGGGGCAAGGGATTGGAAGAGTGAAAAATAATGTCCAAGTTGTGGGTCAGAGTGACATGGAGGTTGGTGGGATAGCCTACAGTGATAGAAAAGAGGGGAAGAGAGAGATGCTGAAAGGAGGAAAAAGGTCAGAGAGGTAAGAGGACAGCTGGGAGAGGAGCAGCAAGCATCTTAAAGTCCCATGAGGCTAAGATGTCAAAGAGGAGAAGCTCCACAGTAACAACAAAAGCAGTACAGGGGTCAGAGGATGAGGCTAGAGTAGAGAGAGCTGGGATGCTGTACAAAATTAAAACTGTAATTATACTAATCCTAGATACATTGGCCTAGAAAAACCAGCCACTTTATTCAGTTTGAAGTGGGGCTCCCTTCCAATTGGTAGTACTTAACTTCTAACATGCCTTTTTAAATGTTTGTTTTAAAACTGATATTGAAACCAAAACAATAAAAATAAAAGAAAACAAAGGTTGTAAAGCACTAAACAAGCTTTTGAAAGTGTTCATTTAAGTGTATGGGTAGGATGGGTTAAGAGCATCTATAAAACTAAAATGTTTGTCAGCTTGTGTGCATTGCAATTACATTTGCCTGAAAACTGTAGCAATAAGCCTATTTTAATTGTCAATATAATTATCTAGTAATCAAACAGTGGCAGGAATATACAAGTAGAAAATCCAACTTCAAATCCAACCAAACCAAACCAATGATCCACTACAACCTGTTAAGAATGGTTTACAAGAAAAGGGACCTCTACCTCAGAAAAAGGTTTAAAAAAAAAACCAACAGAAAAATAAAAACTATATCCTTGATTTTTAAAAAAAAGATATTTACCAAGTTAAAATGGGTATAAGTTTCTGTTAAGAAAAAGTAGAACTTTCTAATACACAACAAATAAAGAGTATTCCAGCTGCACATGCTCTCAAATCCAGAGTTTTAATTGTTGTTTCCTCAATTTTTTTATTTGAAAAATATAAAAACCTGTTCCACAAAACCTATTAAACAATTAGTTTTGAGTTCTAACCGTATTGACGAACAAAAGGGTAAAATGACTATCCAATCTGCCACATCCCCGTTGCCGTTAAATGAACTTAGCTAGTTCCCAGAACAAACTTTTTTTTTTTAATAGCAAGTGTGATATATACTCTGTTTCGAATGCAAACCATGTTTTCTGCATTTGTATTGCCATGGACAGATTACTAAAATCTCTATATACATGGACTTCACTGGTCACCTTTGTATTAAGATAACTGTTCACAGATGAATGCTGCTGAACACTATTTAGAGCACAAGTTGCAGAAGTCGCCTCCAAATCTGATTATGGCATGTCTTTAAAGTGCCATGCTGCACCTCTTAGTAAATGGAGAGTGATCTTGGGGTGACATGGTCAGAACAATTGAGCCAGGAAGATAATTTTGGCAGCCGCATTTTGAATGGATCTGAAGGGGACAGCATAGCTATCAAAGATAAAGAAGAGGCTTCAGTGGTGAAGATGAGGGAGGAGTTGCCTGGAGAAGATACTGAATTTTGCAAGTCTAAAGCGGGAAGAAGGAGCAAAACTTGGACATGGCCTGGGTATGTGAATCTATAGAGAGCAGAGTTAATGACAAGGGTATGGTTATTGGCTTTTCCCTTGTCAATTGTCCTAATCTAAGTGTTACCTATCTGACAAGTTCCCATTCGCTTAGAGGCTGACGCTGGGGATTGAATTGGGGACTTCTTAAGGCACAAGTCCCTACAGCTTGAGCCAAAGAGACGGGCATTGTAACAGAGGGCTGTAACAGACTTGTCTGTTGTGGTTTGGGCACAAGGGAGAGCACATAACACGCTAACCAGTGGGTTACCTGAGCATTGACTGGGGTCAGTACCAGGTTGTAAGGCCTTCAAGGAACACTGAGGGTAGTGCTGATGGTTCAGTAAGTGGCTTCTTCTTGATTGGTATTGCTCTAATCCTATAAAACTGGTTTGTGAAGTCATTGTGCTCTTTGAGATACTGTCCTTTTAAAATGAGGCCAAGTCAATGCTGGGCATACTTTGCTAGTGTAGGTATATCGGCTAAGTGCTCCTGGTGTGGATGCATCTCATACGAGCAACACTGCTAGTTCTAGCATGCCTACCCTTTCTCCCCCAAGGGAAATAAGCTAAATCAGCAAAAGTCCAATTTTCCAGTATGACACTGTCTACACTATATGGGCTTTTGCTGCCACAGCTAGGTGTATGGGTCGCAAATTACACCCCTTACCAACATAGTAATGCTGGCAAAAAATTGTAGTATAGACATGGCCTGCAATGTAGAACTGAGGTCCAAGATCTTGTATGCCTGCCAACACTTGCTTTTTTTGAAGGACTGAGTGAGAAAACAAATATTTTGCTAACAAATAGGAACTTCCCCTCTCTTGGATAAGTACAATTAACATGTTAATACAGCTGTTCTAGTTGGTTCCATTTGCAGAACTATACAGGGCTTATCTGTAACTTCCAAATGGACTTCTTGTCCTAAATCATGTAGGACAAGTTTTTCTAAAGCCTGGTCTACACTAGGAGTTGAGGTTGAATTTAGCAGCGTTACCTCGATTTTAACCCTGCACCCATCCACACAACGAAGCCCTTTTTTTCGATTTAAAGGGCTCTTAAAATCTATTTCTTTACTCCACCCCTGACGAGGGGATTAGTGCTGAAATCGGCCTTGCTGGGTCGAATTTGGGGTACTGAGGATGCAATTCAATGGTATTGGCCTCCGGGAGCTATCCCAGAGTGCTCAGTTGTGACCGCTCTGCATGGCGCGCTCAACTCAGATGCACTGGCCAGGTAGACAGGAAAAGCCCCGCAAACTTTTGAATCTCGTTTCCTGTTTGGCCAGCGTGGCGAGCTCACCTGCACAGGTGGTCATGCAGAGCTCATCATCACAGGAGACCATGCAGTCCCAGAATTGCCGACGAGCTCCAGCATGGACCGAACGGGAGGTATGGGATCTGATCACTGTATGGGGAGATGAATCCGTGCTGCCAGAACTCCGTTTGAAAAGACGAAATGCCAAAATATTTGAAAAAATCTCCAATGGCATGAAGGGCAGAGGCTATAACAGGGAACCGCAGCAGTGCCATGTGAAAATTAAGGAGCTCAGGCAAGCCCACCAAAAAACCAGAGAGGCAAACAGCCACTCCGGTTCAGAGCCCCAGACATGCCACTTCTGTGATGAGCTGCATGCCATTCTAGGGGGTGCAGACACCACTACCCCCACCCTGTGCTTTGACTCTGTCCAAGGAGTGGGAGGCAACACGGAAGTGGGTTTTTGGGGCAAAGAGGAGGAGGTTGTGGATAGCTCACAACAAAGAAGTGGAGAAACCGGTTTCCCCAACAGCCAGGAACTGTTTTTCACCCTGGACCTGGACCCAGTACACCCTGAAGCCACCCAAGGCGGGCTCCCGGACCCTGAAGGCAGAGAAGGGACCTCTGGTGAGTGTACCTTTGTAAATATTATACATGGTTTAAAAGCAAGTGTGTTTAATGATTAATTTGCCCTGGCATTTGTGGCCAGAACAGCTACTGGAAAAGTCTATTAACGTGTCTGGGGCTGGAGCGGAAATCCTCCAGGGACATCGCCATAAAGCTCTCCTGGATATACTCCCAAAGCCTTTGCAAAAGGTTTCTGGGGAGGGCAGCCTTATTCCGTCCTCCATGGTAGGACACTTTACCACGCCAGGCCAGTAGCACGTAGTCGGGAATCATTGCAGAACAAAGCATTGCAGAACAAAGCATTGCAGCATATGGTCCTGGTGTTTGCTGGCATTCAAACAACATCCCTTCTTCATCTCTCTGTGTTACCCTCAGGAGAGTGATATCATTCACGGTCACCTGGTTGAAATAGGGTAGCTTTAGTAAGCGGACATTCAGAGGTGCCCGTTCCTGCTGGGCTGTTTGCCTGTGGCTGATCAGAAATCTTCCCCGCTGTTAGCTACATGGTGGGGGGAGGGGTGAAGCCATCATCCCAGAGAAATGGGGGTGTGTGTGTGGGGAGAGGGGGGGAGTAGTTGGGTTTCTGCTGCATTTGAACCCAGAAACCGCAGATCCTCCTTTTAAATTGCCAACCCATTTTTAATGGCCAACCCAACGGCTACTACTTATGGGAAATGAGGGTGCTGCTGTTTGAAACCATTCCTACATGTTATGAAGGTTAAAGAAGCCGAAAGCTGCCTGCAAGCCAAATTCTGTTGCCCGGCCCTGCATGAGTGATCTCTCACACCAAACCGGCATACCCTCAATAAGAGGCAAAATGCAACCTTGTAATGAAAGCACATGTGCTATGTAATGTTAACAGCAAGGTTTACCATGAAAGAGTGTACCCATTGTTCTATAAAATGTCTTTTTAACTACCACTCTCCCTTTTTTCCTCCACCAGCTGCATATGTTTCTCCTTCCCAGAGGCTAGCAAAGATTAGAAGGCGAAAAAAACGCACTCGTGATGAAATGTTCTGACCTCATGCTGTCCTCCCACACTGACAGAGCACAGCAAACTACATGGAGGCAGACAATCTCAGAGTGCAGGAAAACACCATATGACCACGAGGAGAGGTGGCGGGCTGAAGATGGTAGGTGGCATCAGCTTGCTGAAAGAAGGCAGGAGTCAATGCTCAGGCTGCTGAAAGATCAAACTAATATGCTCCAGCGTATGGTTGAGCTGCAGGAAAGGCAGCAGGAGCACATACCGCCACTACAGCCCCTGTGTAACCAACCGCCCTCCTCCCCAAGTTCCATAGCCTCCTCACCTAGACACCCAAGAATGTGGTGGTGGTGGGGGGCTCCGGCCACCCAGCCACTCCACCCCAGAGGATTACCCAAGCAACAGAAGGCTGGCATTCAATAAGTTTTAAAGTGCTGTGTGGCCTTGTCCTTACCTCCTCCACCACCCCTCCCGGGCTACCTTGGCAGTTATCCTCCTATTTATGTGATGAATTAATAAAGAACGCATGAATGTGAAGCAACAATGACTTTATTGCCTCTGCAAGCGGGGATTGAGGGGGTATGGGAGGGTGCTTAGCTTACAGGAAAGTAGAGTGAACCCGGGGGGGGTTCCATCAAGGAGAAACAAACAGAACTTTCACACCGTAGCCTGGCCATTCCTGAAACTGGTTTTCAAAGCTTCTCTGATGCGCACCGCCTCCTCCTGTGCTCTTCTAACCACCCTGGTGTCTGGCTGCGCGTAATCAGCGGGCAGGCAATTTGCCTCAAACTCCCACCCTGCCATAAACGTCTTCTCCCTTACTCACACAGAGATTGTGGAGTGCACAGCAAGCAGCAATAACAATGGGAATATTGGTTTTGCTGAGGTCTAACCGAGTCAGTAAACTGCGCCAGCGCGCTTTTAAACGTCCAGATGCACATTCTACCACCATTCTGCTCTTGCTCAGCCTATAGTTGAACAGCTCCTGACTTCTGTCCAGGGTCTCTGTGTATGGCTTCATGAGCCATGGCATGAAGGGGTAGGCTGGGTCCCCAAGGATAACTATAGGCATTTCAACATCCCCAACAGTTATTTTCTGGTCTGGAAAGTAAGTCCCTTGCTGCAGCTGTTGAAACAGACCAGAGTTCATGAAGATGCAAGCATCATGTACCTTTCCCGGCCATCCCATGTTGATGCCGGTGAAACGTCCCTTGTGATTCACCAGTGCTTGCAGCACCATTGAAAAGTACCCCTTGTGGTTTAGGTACTCACTGCCTTGGTGCTCCGGTGCCAAGATAGGGATATGTGTTCCGTCTATGGCCTCACCACAGTTAGGGAATCCCATTGCAGCAAAGCCATCCACTACAACCTGTACATTTCCCAGGGTCACTACCCTTGATATCAGCAGATCTTTGATTGCGTTAGGTACTTGCATCACAGCAGCCCCCACAGTAGATTTGCCCACTCCAAATTGATTTCTGACTGGTAGCTGTCTGGCGTTGCAAGCTTCCACAGGGCTATCGCCACTCGCTTGTGAACTGTGAGGACTGCTCTCATCTTGGTATTCTTGCGCTTCAGGGCAGGGGAAAGCAAGTCACAAAGTTCCATGAAAGTGCCCTTACACATGTGAAAGTTTTGGAGCCACTGGGAATCGTCCCAGACCCGCAACACTATGCGGTCCCACCACTCTGCTTGTTTCCCGAGCCCAGAATCAGCGTTCCACGCCATGAACCTGCCCAATTGACACCATTGTAGGGGGCTGTACTTTGTGAGAAGTCTATGTCCATGTCCTCATCAGTCTCGTCACCGAGCTGCAGTCGCCTTCTCCTCGCCTGGTTTCGCTTATCCTGCTGGATAATGCGCACAGTGTTTATAGTGCTCATAATTGCCGCGGTGAGCTGAGTGGGCTATGGCGTCTGCGCTGAAAAAAGGCACAAAATGATTGTCTGCCATTGCTCTGACGGAGAGAGGGGCAACTGACAACATGGCTTACATGGTTGGTTTACAGGGAATTAAAATCAACAGAGGGGGTGGCTTTGCATCAAGGAGAAACAGAATGGCCCCCTCAAGGATAGAACTCAAAACCCTGGGTTTAGCAGGCCGTTGATTTCACGGAGGGAGGGAGGAAGGGGGGAGAAAATGAATACAAAACAGATCTGTTCTATTTCTTGTTGTGATCCACTTCATCTATCTTTATACATCTTGTTGGCAGCAGACGGTGCAGTACGACTGCTAGCCATCATCATCTCCTGGGTGCTCATTAGAAGACGGTGTAGTACGACTGCCGGCAGGACTGAATCGCCATGAGAGAAAACTTAAAAGGGAAATGACCTGGCTGAGTCACTCCCATGTTTGCCCAGGCGCCTCTGACCGACCTCACTGAGGTCGGCTAAAAGAGCACTCTGGAGTACAGCGATGATGGCTACCAGTCATACTGCACTGTCTGCTGCCAAAAGGCAATGAGCTGCTGCTGTGTTGCAATGTAGTACTGCATCTGCCAGCACCCAGGAGACATACGGTGAGCTGAGCAGGCTCCATGCTTGCCATGATATGGCATCTGCATGGGTAACCCAGGAAAAAAGGCGCGAAACGATTGTCTGCTGTTGCTTTCACGGAGAGAGGGAAGGATGGGCCTGATAAGTACCCAGAACCACCCACGACAGTGTTTTTGCCCCATCAGGCATTGGGATTTCTACCCAGAATTCAAATGAGCGGCAGAGACTGCGGGAACTGTGGGTTAACTACCCATAGTGCAACGCTCCAGAAGTCGATGGTTGCCTCAGTACTGTGGACGCACTCCACCGACTAAATGCACTTGGAGCATTTTTGTGGGGGGACACACAATCGACTGTATAAAAACATTTTCTACAAAACCGACTTCTATAAATTGAACCTAATTTCGTAGCATAGACATAGCCTAAGTCTAGATGATATATACCCAAGAGTTCTGAAGGATCTTATCAATTACATGGCTAAGAAAAATCATGCAATGTCATTAAGAAACTTACCCTCCAATCCTTTGGTGCAGTTAACATATGTTGCACCTGTGTTTTATAAAAGACTCTCTTAACGATCCAGAGAATTACAGACCAGTAAGCCTTCTATACCTCGTAAATTGACTTAAAAACCCACACTATATAGGTAGGGTCTAAGCAGTTTCGCCAGACTCTATTTGCTTTTGTAGAAACCAGTCTGATAGAATTCTTTGAATGTATGAAGTGGTGCATAAAAGAGAACCTGTTAACCAAGAGACTAATTAGTAGTGGTGTGGTAACCTCTGTAGACACTAAATAGTCCCTTGTGAGGGATAAAATATTTTCCTGGATAAGAAACTGGCTAAAAGACAGAAAACAAAGCGATCATTTTTCATCATCGGGAAGCAGAATACAAACTGCAGGGTGACTTGAGGTTTCATACCAGAACTGGTGATTGGTTAATGATCTGGAAGAAATGGGCTAAGGAGGGTGGTGGCAAAAACTGCAGAAGACAAAAAATTATTTAAGTTAGTTAAAACCAGAGAAGATTCTGAGGAACTCCAGAAAGCCCTAACCAAGCCAGGTGAATGGGAGACACAATGGCTGATGAAACTCAGAGTGTTGATAAACCCAAAGTAATATGTGTTAAAGGGAAACTCGAACTATTCAGACAGATTACATGGTTCAAAATTAACAGCAGTGACTCAGAAAAAGAAGCTAGGCATCATTGTGGACAGCTCAGTGAAGATCTCAGTTCAGTGTGCAGTTATACCTTAAAAAACAAGTAAAATGCTAGGATTCATAAGGAATGGGGTGGAGAATGATACAGAAAACATTATCCCTTTGTACAAATTAGTGTTTTCCCTTCATCTGGAGTACTGTCTGCAGTATTGATTACTGCATCTCAAAAAGGATATTGCAGAATTAAAGGTGATTCAGAGAAGGGTATGAAGAATGAATAGAAGCATGGAAAAAATCTCATATGAAGAGACTGAAAATATTTGGCCTGTGTATTTTGGAAATGAAACTAATAAAAGGACACCAGATAAATGTATACAAAATAATGCATGGTCTAGAGAAGGTAGTTCAGGAGTTTCTGTTCTATGAGACAGCACCAGAACAAGGGGACACTTAATGATTGTTAGGTATCAGAGGGGTAGCCGTGTTAGTCTGGATCTGTAAAAGCAGCAAAGAGTCCTGTGGCACCTTATAGACTAACAGACGTATTGGACCATAAGCTTTCATGGGTGAATACCCACTTCGATGGATGCATCCGACAAAGTGGGTATTCACCCATGAAAACTTATGCTCCAATACGTCTGTTGGTCTATAAGGTGCCACAAGACTCTTTGCCGCTTTTAATGATTATTGAAAGGTGTCCAGTTAAAAACTGATAAAAACATATGCTACTTCACACAACTAGACTGTGGACCTCATTGCCACAGGGTGTTACTGAAGCCAAGAATTTAGCAAGATTTTGAGTGATTGGACGTGTATAGATAACATGAATATCCAGTTATAGTAGTTAATGTGAGGAAAGTGTTTTGGGAGGTTTTTTAAGATAATATTGAGGGTTAGGGTAACACTTTTTTATGGAGGACTGATTAACCCACATCTGCCTACTATGGCGTTTCTTGCAACTTCTTCTAAAGCATCTGATGCTGGCCACTCTCAGATATTGAGTTAGATGGATCACAGGTGTGATCCAGTGTGGCTATTCCTGTGCTACTGTGTACTGATTAAATAGGCACAAGTGTTCCTCCCCAAAAAGTGTTTGAAATTTATTGGCAAATGAAGTGATTCAGGTATAAGTTTGAAGCATTTAGGAATCAAAGGTATAATGTAATTGTGACTGTTAATTTGATCGTATGTTGATTTTATATAATTCAAATGGTGCCTCTAAAGTAATTCAGTTTAATTCTGACTACACTTTAATAAAAGTTAATTACCATGCTGTTGTGTTGGTAAGGGTACAGAATCACTGCAGTCTGATAGGCTAAAACAATTCCATTTTTGCTAACTTCAAATTAAAGCATGCTTTTATTTGAAATGGTATTTCTATGCCCTCATCCCCTCCTCTTAATGCTGTCATCAGATGACACTTAAAGGTTTAAATGATCTACTGTTAATTTTATGAATATTTTTACAAATTTAAATGTATCCAAAAAGTTTTTGGAAAGTGTAGGGGACAATTTCCTGGTGCAAGTGCTGGAGGAACCAACTAAGGGCAGAGCTGCTCTTGACCTGCTGCTCACAAACTGGGAAGAATTAGTAGGGAAAGCAAAAGTGGATGGGAACCTGGGAGGCAGTGACCATGAGATGGTCGTGTCAGGATCCTGAACTCAAGGAAGAAAGCAGAATACAGACCCTGGACTTCAGAAAAGCAGACTTTGACTCCCTCAGGGAACTGATGGGCAGGATCCCCTGGGAGAATAACATGAGGGCGAAAGGAGTCCTGGAGAGCTGGCTGTACTTTAAAGAATCCTCATTGAGGTTACAGGAACAAA